TCCTTGAACATTGGTCATGGTGGTAGGGACTGATGGGAGCTGGGGGCTCCATCAACAACTGGAGAGCCACACATTCCTGCTTCCCTCAGTTGTTGGAATCCAACTCCCATCATCCCTGATTGGCCACACTCGCTGGTCCAACAGCATCTAGAGGGCCATCAGTTTCCCACTCCTCTAAGGCATGTTCTGCTTTCTGTTTTCACTTGAATTCTCCCGGTCTGCTGACGTGAGCTACATATACAAAGCAGGAGTTTACATCTGAAACTCTCTGAAGAATTAAGGCATTAGAACTGATCTCTGTGTGTCAAGTGATGCTGAGTCTGCACTCTCGCTGAACAACCTGAAGGAGCACCTTGCTGGATCAAAGTGTGGCTCACTCAAGCCACATTCACACCATGTAGTGAAACCACTATGATGATGCTTTAAATCGTCAATGGCTTCCTCAAAAGAATTATAGAAACTGTATTCTGTTAAGGGTACTGAGAGTTCTTAGGACGCGCCCCCCCCCACTCAGTTGCCATCACAGATCTACATTTCCCAGTGTGCTTTGACAATAATAGAATCATATAATTGTAGAGTTGAAAGGGACCTCAAGTGTCATTCAGTCCAGGCCAGTGCAATGCAGGAATCACAACTAAAGGGTCACTGACGGATGGTCACTCAACCTCTGCTTAAAAACCTCCAACGAAGGAGAGCCCACCACCTTTCGAGGGAGTCTGTTCCACTGAAAAACAACTCTTACCACGGGAGAAGGGAGGAGACATGGCTGTGGCTCCCAGGTCCCAGAGAGATCTCATAGACCTCCTCTTGAGAGATCGTGTTGGAACCTAAAAGCCGCAGCCGTACGACCCCAGCAAACAAGGCTTCAATGGGGAATGGGCAGCAGCAAGTCTGGTGGTGTGGCACCTTCCCATTTGGCCTCAGGATATAAATGGCACAGGCCACCCCTGCCCTCTAGCAGCTTATTCTACAATATGGGTTACATGAAACTACACTCAATAAGATACAACACACCCATGCTATTTTATTTTATCAAAGTTTATTTTTATCATCTCTCTATTACTATGTTGTTGTATATATGATAAATAAGCAAGGAAATTGAGATTCTTTAAATTTTTGTTTGACCCACCACATGTTCAACATACTTTCTTTTCTAAAAATGTGCAAGTTTTTTGTTAAACCTTAGCAATATTCTGCTGTACTCATGTTCCATGCCAGCATGGATGCTATATAATGCTGCTATTTGAGTATCTCCTCCCTCTCATTTCTTTTTCATTTTTCTTCTGTAAATTTTTCCTTTTCTTATACTTTTGAATTTTCAACTAAAATTATTTGAAAAGAAGGCAACAGCCTGCCGCTCCTGTTGACGCCCAGTACTATCTTCTTCCTTTTTTAAAGCATTTTTATCCAAACCTACATAACACAAAAGGAAAAAGGAATGGGAGGGAAGAAGAAGAAGAAGAAGAAGAAGAAGAAGAAGAAGAAGAAGAAGAAGGAGAAAAACAACTCAGGAATTATTTCTTAGTTGTAGAGTTCTTGTAAAGACCATCTGGAATGGAAAAATTTCAAGCAGAGAAGGAGCCAAAAGTAGCTGGTCTTCCAGGAGAGCAGATGGAGAGGTACTATAATTCCAGCTCTCTTCCTCTCATAGAGCCAGATAGAATGACTGCTGTGGATTATGTATTCAGTGGCCCACTTCCTCTGATCATGGAAGTGAACTTAGCCACTGATCAACCACCCAACTAGCAGACTTATTCTCCACTGTGTCCCTGGGGATTCCACCCCCCTTAAATATCATTTTGGTAAACCAAAGAGGCTGGAAACTGAGAACTCCCAGACAACCCCCCCCCCAAAAAAAACCCCACCTCCCTTCTCAGTCACAGGAGCTGGATCACCCAAGTCCCCCATAATGATGCCACCAGACTTGTCAGCTGGAAAAGGTTCAGAAAAGGGCAATTGAAATGGTAGAGGGGATAGAGTAAATCCCCTATGAGGAATGGCTGCAACATTTTGGGGCTTTGTTTTGTTTTGTTTAGAGAAAATGCAATAAAGAGGAGGCATGATGGAGGTAGACACAGTTATGCCTGGTGTAGAGAAAATCTCCCTCTGTCATAATGCTAGAAGTCAGGCACATCCAATGAAGCTGAATGTTGGAAGATTCGGGACACATAAAAAAAGTCCTTCATGCAGTGCATAGTCAGACTGTGGAACTCCCTCCCACAGGAGGCAGTGATGGCCACCAACCTAGACGGCTTTAAAAGAGGATGAGACAAATTTGTGGAGGAGGATAAGGCTATTGATGGCTACTAGCTATGCTGTGCCTCCACTGCAGGAGACGGTGCGCTTCTGAATTCCAGTTGATGGAAACCTGTGCTGGAGATCTGTTTTCAGGTCCTGCTTGTAGGCTTCCCACTGTCGCATCTGGCTGGCCACTCTGAGAACAGGACAGAATAATAGTAGAGTTGGAAGGGACCATGAGGGTCATCTAGTCCAACCCCTTTCAATGCAGGAATATTTTGCCCAATGTGAGGCTCAAACCCACGACCTTGAGATTAAGAGCCTCATGCTCTACCGATGCTGAGCTACATAAGCCCCCTCTGGCCTGATCCAGCAGTCAGGATCTTCTGTTCTTCTACCACCACTATCTGAGACAGTATACCTCTGGATACTACTTCCTAGGAATCAGAGGTGTGGAGAATTGCTATTGCACACAAGTCCACTTCTGGACAGCATCCCACAAACAGAAGCCCACTGGGATAGCAGCTGGAATTCTTATTTCACTTCCCAGCAAGAAGAGAGCATCCTCCAGCACACTTTGAGGGCAGGAGCTTCATTTATGGTGGTGTTCTTCACTTGGTCTCCAGGGTTCACACAATCCCATTCCAGCGGTCTCCGGATGTGGTATGTTTCGTTTTACCAGCTGTTTTAACTACAACTCCCATCATTCCCCAGCTGCGATGGTGATCGACAGCTGGAGGACAAGGTTGAGGAAACATTAGTCTAGAAGCATCCAGAGCACTCAGGGTTGAAGAACACTGCAACGAATAATGCCTCCAAATAGAGGATTGCCCTCTATCTCAGACACATGGTCTTAAAGCTGGTTTCCAGGCTTAATTCAAAATGATGGCCTTGACTTAAAAAGTCTGAGGTAGTCCAGGGCTGAGATATCTCAAGTCTCATATTCTCCTGTGTGAACCTTAAGTTCTCCCCAGAGTTTGAGATGAAATATTAATGGGGTCTGGTACCTAAGATCAGCTTTGCCCAGCCTGGTGCCCTCCAGATGTTACAGGACTCCCATCACCCCCAGTCAGGATGGTGGGAGTTGTAGTTCCAGCAATATTTGGAAGGCCAAAGTTTGAAGAACACTGATTTAATGCATGGAAGATGGGCTCTGCGATTCCTACATTCTAAGGGGATGGACTAGATGCCCCCTGGGTCCCTTCCAAAATATACAATTCTGTGATGCTATGCTGTACAGTTCAAGCATGTTTAACGCAAGTAAAGGTAAAGGTAAAGGGACCCCTGACCATTAAGTCCAGTTGTGGACGACCCTCTTTACTGGCCGAGGGAGCTGGTGTTTGTCCGCTGACAGCTTCCGGGTCATGTGGCCAGCATGACTAAGCTGCTTCTGGCAAACCAGAGCAGCGCACGGAAACACCGTTTATGTTCCCGCCAGAGTGGTACCTATTTATCTACTTGCACTGGTGTGCTTTCGAACTGCTAGGTTGGCAGGAGCAGGGACCAAACAATGGGAGCTCACTCTGTCGTGGGGATTCGAACGGCTGAAATTCCGATCAGGCAAGTCCTAGGCTCAGTGGTTTAACCCACAGCACCATCCGCAAGTAGCTTCCCCCAAAGCATCCTGGGAGCTGCTGCTTTCCCCTTGCAGAACTACAGTTTCCAGCACCCTTAACAAACTACAATTTTCAGGATTCTTACAGTAAGTGTTCAATGTGAATGTTGTGGATGTGACCACACACAGACCACCACCTATTTTCCCACTGAGCAGAATAGAAGGGGCGGGCAGCACAGGATAAACAACCGGCGGGTTCGCACCTGCCCCCTCGCCTAGCTTTTACTACCAGAGGCAGCTGCCTAAGGGCCCCACAAAAATGCAGCATCAAACAACCGCAATCACCCGTTTAAAGAAAAATCCAGAAATGCAAGCCGATTGTGGGCGAGGGTCTCAGCGCCTTCCCCGCGCCCCCTTTCTGGAGCCTCCGCTCTGGACTCGCTTCTCTATAGCTTATTTCTCTCCCAAGCTCGCTTTGCAAGCCTGCCTCCCTCCCTCCCTCTCTCTGGGGGGAAAAAGGTCATTGCGCAAATGATTAGTCAGAGCTCAGTTGCTACAGCAACCAGCCGCTGTATCTGGGACAGGCAATGCATTGAGGACAACAGCGAGGTCGGCCATTAGTGGAGGCTGCTGGGATAGGAAGCCTTTGTATCGACTTCCAAGGGAGGCAGCAGGCGAGGAGGCGAGGAGGCAGTGGGAGAAGGAGGCAGCTCACAGCCCCTTGCACCACCGCGCAGAAACTCAGCTGGGCAACAGAGATGGCAGACGATCTATCTCTCTCTCTCTACCTCTTTTGCATTGTGTGCAAGTCTCTGTTTTATATTTTCACTTACGTTTTTGTTTTATTTCATCATAGGCATGATAAAATAGGTTGGATGGCCATCTGTCGTGGGTGCTTTAGCCGAGAGTCCTGCATTGCAGGGGGGTTGGACTAGATGACCCTTGGGTCCCTTCCCAACTCTATGATTCTATGAGACTTTATGCAATTTTTTTTTAATCTATCAGGAGCAACAACACACATAAAGAGTGCAGGGGGGGAGATGATGGGAAAGGGCTTGCTGCTCCCTGGTTAGAGCAGCAGCTTTGCATGCAGAAGGTCCCGGGTTCAATCACTGGCATTTCCATATCCCCTGCCTAAAATTCTAGAAATCTGCTGCCGGTCAGTGTAGACGGCACAGAGCTAGATGGGCTCCAATGGTCTGACTTGGAAAGTGTAGCTCTGTGGTAGAGCTTCAGCTTTGCATGCTGAAGGTCTCAGGTTCAATCCCTGGCAGTGTCTCCAGATAGGGCTTGGAACATCCCTTGCCTAAAATTCTAGAGAGCTGCTGCCAGTCAGTGTAGACAGCACTGAGCTAGACTGACATGACCAGTCTGTCTCAGAAGACAGACTGTTTTTCATCTGTTTTTCATCCTATTTATTCAGAATGTTGAGGACCTCAGTCTTGTTGTATTTTTAGGAAAACAGACATAGCTCAATGGGGCAACAGTTGCTTCGCATGCAGATCCCATGATTATATCTCCAGGTAGGGCTGGGAATGTCCCCTGACTGAAACCCTGGGAGGGCTATTGCTGCCAGTCAGTGTAGACAAGACTGCGCTAGGTGGACCATGCTAAGAACTGCTTTTATGGGGTTGGGGGGGGGCTCTTCAGACAATAATGGAATGCAGCTTACTAAATTCTTCTCAGAGTAGACCTGTTGGAATTCATGTAGCTAAGTTTACTGTGACCATGAATTTCAGTGGGTCAATTCTGAACATGCTGTAGGTCCCATCTGCGCAATTTGTTCAAAGCAGTATCATATCACTTTCAGCAGTCATAGCATCCCCCAAAGATCCTGGGGCCTGTAGTTTGTTAAAGGTGCTCTTAGAGTTGTTAGGGGACCCATATTCCCCTCAAATAACTACAATTCCCAGATTACTTTTGTGGGAGGGAAAATATAAGGTCCCTGTGTGGCAAATAATAAAATAATGGGCTGGGTGCTTGGATTCAAAATACGGGGTATTGCACACTCTCCAGCAGGAGACAGCCCCCAGAAGTAGAATTTAAACTCAAAAAGTCAAGCAGCACAATGAAGTGTTAGGAATGTAGGCTGTTAAACCTTTAGCATATTGCATTTAGTCTGCTTGCAAAGTTCTCCCCTCTTTCTACCCCTCTTGCAATAAACAGAGCATACACTGTTAAGTATGTTTAAAATGCTTTACTTACAAAAGGTTCCAAAGGTCAGATGCATACATTTATCCAAGCAGCAGCTAGGAGAATATAGGCAGAATATTCTTGGGTAGAAAATACAAAAAGGTAGCTTCAAACATGTGCTCTAAGCTTGCAGCAAAGCTTAGACACATCTTTCTTGGTCAGTTATATGGCATGGAGAGAGGTAGGGACCAGGAAGAGAAGGTTTCAGTTCCTCATCAGAGAAGAGGGGGCATGATTTAGCTTAGTCTAGGGATATAACTTTGTGGTCTTAACCCCTTCATATACTAACAAGCACTCATGCATAGTTATGTCTGACTGCAATCTTCCACAAATTTAACTAACAATCCCTCATCCCAGGAACCATGGGAATTTTAGGTCTCTGTGGAGAATGGGGTTCTAATAACTCCAAGGATTCTTTGAGAGAAGTTAGGACTGTTCAAAGGGGTATGATACTGCTTTAGATGTATGGTGCAGATGAGGCCTAACACTGGAAGATTTCAAATTATTGTAATTTAAAAGAATTGGACAAGTTCACAGAAAATAAGGAAATCAATGGCTCCTAGTCACAGTGACTATGCTCTGCCTCGATGATCATAAGAATGGACATTGGAGGGGTGTGTGTGGCCCTCCAGTTGTTGATGGAGCCTCCAGCTCCCCTCAGTCTCTACCAGCGTGGCCAGTGTTCAAGGATGATGGGAGTTGTCAGAGCATCTGTCTGCTTTGCATGCAGAAAGTGCCAGGTTCTAATCTTGGCATCTCTTTTGGTACATAGTTGAACTATGGAACTTGCTTCCATGGGTGCCAGTGATGGCCACCAACTTGAATGGCTTTAAAAGCGGATTAGACAAATTCGTGGAAGCTAAGGCTTTTAATGGCTGCTAACCATGATGGCTGTGCTCTGTGCCCAAGGTCGGAGGCATTAATGCTTCTAAATCCCAGTTGTAGATCAAAGGACGGGAAAGGGCTTCTTGTGCTCAGGTCCTGCTTGTGGGTATCCCAAAATGTGCACCTGGTTGGCCACTGAGAACAGGATGCTGGTCTAGATTTGCCCCCATTGATCTAGCCTGATATTCTGTGTTTATGTTCTTATGGTAAAAGCCACTTCTTTGGTGTTTGGGGAGGGGGTATCCAGCTCCTCTTGCCAAGTGAATGAAGTGGGCTTCTGTCCCAAAGTAACACACCTACAAACTCTCCTATCTTTGTAGTTGCTGATTCCTCCCTGATTCTTTATGTTGCAACACCAGATAACATTTCCCAAGGACTACTGGCTGGCGCGCTCTCTCTCTCTCTCTCTCTCTCTCTCTCTCTCTCTCTCTCTCTCTCTCTTTGCAGAATGAACATCTTTTCCAAAACGATTCCTCTTGATGCCTCTCAGTGGACTGGTGCCACAAGATCTGGCATATCTAAGGGAGAAAGGAAGTACATGGAAAGAGGAAAGGAGACAGTCAAGAGAATAGGAGGAAGTGACCTCACTGGGTTGGGAGCTGGGTGCGGAATATGAACACTCAGGTGTAAAGGGAAGCAGGACAGGATACAGACGGGGAGCAAAGGTGCTTTTCATGCCTGCGGTTTCCTTATTCGTAACAAGAAAGGGGCTAGTTTTATGGATGCCCATGCATGTAAAACGCCCTTCAGTTGTTTTGCCAATGGAAATGGACTTCTCAGCCCCTTCCTTTGCGTGGGGAATGGACAAATGGGGTAACTTCCCTTTCCCCAATCTTCATCACATATTCATATTGATATTCACATTAACTTATTTTTTTAATCATTTATTTATTTATTTATTTATTTATTTATTTATTTATTTATTTATTAATTATATTCATAATCATCCTATAATTCTAGAGTTTGAAGGGAACACCCCCTAGGTTTTTTGTGTGTTCAACCACCTTTAATGCAAGAATCAGAGCTAATGAACCCCTGACAGATGGCCAGCCAACCTTAGAAAGTTCTTCCAAATGTGTAGTTGTAATCCCCTTTCTTGTCATTTGGATCCCAAAAAGTTTGCTCCATCTTCCATGGGACAGCGCTGCAGTTATTGGCTATCATATCTCCTCTCACTCTCCACTTCTCTAGGCTAAACACTCCCAACTCCCTCAACTGTTCCTCTCAAGGCTTAGTTTCCAGACCCTCAATCATCTTGGTCGCCCTGCTCTGCACATGTTCCAGCTTGTCAAAATCCTTCTTAAACTGTGAGGCCCAGAACTGGAGACACTACTTTTCCAGTTCTACAATATCATTTTTTAAGTGAGGCGACTAGAACTGTATATTGTATTGTCCTCTTATTTTTTTAATATTGCCAAACAGATCCATGCCCAAACACTAGACTTATTGAGATTTCTGGATGGGAAGAGTAGACAGTCATGCACCAAAATCTAGGGAACTTCAGGAACTGGCATACATTGAAAAGAGGTTGTGTTGTACAAAGGGCTAAGGAGACGCAGTTCAGTTCAGGTCACCCTTAAAGACGAACTAACCTAAGTCACACTCTCCAAAACAATACCCCAGATGAAACAGAGCCATCCACTTCTCCATATTCTGCAATGCAGTTTCCCGGTAAAGTGTATGGAAATGCAGTTACTGGGGGCAGAGTGTATATAGAAATGCATAGGATAGTGGGGGGGGGGGACACAGCATGTGAATATGTATTTGGAAACTCCATTGTCAAAATGTGTATGTTGGGCAAAATTGCGATTATAATGGACAGGTGAGGCCTTGTTGATGGTCCCTCCACCAGGGGCTCTTCAGTGGTGGCTCCACAGTTGCAGAATGCCTTCCCTAGTAAGGTGCACCTGTCTCCATCATTATTAACTTTCAGGAGTAACTTGAAAACAGTCCTATTTACCCCTGGAATTTGGTCACCAAAGAACACTGTTCCTGGCAACCTTAAGATCATTGGATCATGATTTTAATTAATGTAGAATATTTTTAATTGTCATTGTTTGCCATCCTTGGGGAGGAAGGGTGGGATATAATTCCATTTGATCAATCAAACATGTATACATTTGAAGAATTTTGCACTTAAAATGCTGGTGGGTTTTCATGAGGGCTTATATAGGAAGCTCTATAGTACAGAGCTAGACCATGAGTCCATATAGCTTAGTACTGTCTACACAGACTAGCAGCAGCTCTCCCAAGATTTTAGGCAGGAGTCTCTCCCAGCCCTACCTGGAGATACTGTTGGGGATTGAGCCAGGCGTTTTCTGCTTGCAAGGCAGATGCTCTGTCACTGAGCTAGGGTCATTTCCCAAACGACCATGTTTGGTTTTAAATAAAAAAATGGCAAGCCAGTGAGGGAATGTGCATAATGGAACCAGAGACTGGAAGAGTGGCAAAACTGAAATGGACAGGTCCACTTGTTCCTCGCTGAGCACCTATTAAAGAGTTACAATTGGAATCGGCTCGCTCTCTTCCCTTCCACAACCCTGGCAAATTCTTAGCCATCTCTCTCTCCCCCCCCCCCCATTTTGCTCCTTCTTCCTGGGCTTTCTGCCATGCATGTCTGGAATACATTATGTACCTCGTGCTCGCTCCCCCCACCCCAGCTTGTCAAGCTGACTTTCCTTCTATCTTCTCCTTGGAGTCTTTTCTCAAGGCTCAGAAAAGCTTTTCCTGAACCAGCAAACCAACCCCCCACTTTCCCACCAGTTTTCTTCTCGGCTGCTAAGATCTGATCGCCTGTCTGAAGGTGAATGTGGTGGCAGTGGTAGAGAAATTAAGCAGGACACTGAGATGCTTCCTAACTCCAGATCTGATCTGATTTTTTAAAAGAGAAAATAAATTTCCTGCAAATGCTCACTTGGATTTTTCAGCTTGAAATTATTAATCCTCCACTTTGTCTTGGGGAGGAAAACACACACACACACACACACACACACACACACACAATGCTGAATGTGGTGGCCCAAATTTTAATTGGCCAAACATCTTTGCCCTGTTTGTCCAAGTCTCCTGTTCCAAATGTTGGTGGGTGTGCTCCTGTGGATGTCAAGTGATTGAAATGAAATTTGGTGAGCCTATTCAGGTCACAGGGGGTCTTTTGGATTGAAAGATGTGCTTCCTTGAATCAAATCCCTGCTCCCTGCCTTTGATGCAGAGAGGAGAAAAGTGAAACCAACAACAGGAACCAGGTGTGGTCCCTGCCATGGGAGTCCTGAACTATCCAAGCACAATTAATCTTTTCGGTTTTTATATTCCTCACAACAGTTTTGCAAGGTGGATCAGTTGAACCCATTTCACAGATGAGAAAGCAAATGCCTCTTTGTGATGTTTTAAACTGCAAGTCTTCATACAATGAATGGCTGGTTAAGATTCAGTCTGTGGGATCAGTCTGAGTACAGTAAAGGTAAAGGGACCCCTGACCATTAGGTCCAGTTGTGGCCGACTCTGGGGTTGCGGCGCTCATCTCGTTTATTGGCGTACAGCTTCTGGGTCATGTGGCCAGCATGACTAAGCCACTTCTGGCGAACCAGAGCAGCGCATGGAAACGCCGTTTACCTTCCCGCCGGAGCGGTACCTATTTATCTACTTGCACTTTGACGTGCTTTCGAACTGCTAGGTTGGCAGGAGCAACAGGAGCTCAACCCGTTGTGGGGATTTGAACCACCGACCTTCTGATCAGCAAGTCCTAGGCTCTGTGGTTTAACCCACAGCGCCACCCACTTCTAAACTTGTGCTTGGAGACTCATTTTTAAACCCTGCAAAGGAGGCTACTTTAGGAAAGCTACTTCAAGATAGGGCAATTCCTGCCTGTCCTTTCTCCATTCCCCATCTGTTCCAGTTCTTGCTCCCCCACTTCTAAAACGTGTTTATTTACACATTTGGAACCCCTGGAGAGAAAGGCACATGGAGAAAGCTGCTTGAGAGGGAGCAATTTTAAGGCAGGAGGAAGGGGTACATAACCCTTTCCCCACCTGTCATGTCTTCATTCCCCCCCCCCCATATTTTCCTGGTCCTGTCCTCCATTTTCATGTATGTTTAAATACACGTTTTGAACCCCTTTAGCTCAACCCACTTCCGGAAAACAGCTTTCAGGGAGGTCATTTCTTCCACTTCCTGATCTCCCACTCCTAAACTTTGGTTAAATACACATTTAGAACCTCTGCAGGGGTAGCAGATGCTTTGGGGAAGGGGTGATCCAGAGCGATTCCACAGCAGGGAGAGAAGCGGGTTACACACTCCCCCCTCTCCTATGTCATTTGCTGTTTAAGAGTCCTTTACCAATCCTATTTATTAGGGGGGGGGAGCAGCAAGGTCACTTAGGTTGCAAACCTACCCTGCACTTTCCTGCAAATAAAGCTTCATTGTTTACTTCTGAGTAGACCATGATCAAACCAGTTGGGACCTTCAGACCCAAGCAAGAATTTGAGAACCTGGAGTCTCCGATCCAATAAAAATCCAACACTCTTCTTTGAGTCCCCCCCCCCACCCCGTCTCCCTCTTTCCTCTCTCCTCTGCTCCAGAAAAAGTGGAAAGTAATTCCTCCAGAAAGTAGGAGTATTGCATGAAACACCCCCCATAGTGGTAATGGGGAGAGGATTAGCCCGCTTTGGGGAATGAAAAGTCAACTGTTGACTCCACCCCCCCCATAAAAAATAATCTGGATCTCTTTCGCAAACTTGAGTTGTGTGATAACCCCCCTTCCTTCCTGTATGGAGTTGGCGGGAGGGGTTTTTCTCTGTGTGTGTGTGTGGGGGGGGTATTGGCTCAGCGCCCTTCATTGTCTTTGCAAAACAACACCCCCATTTTATTTCCTTTCTCTCCCTATTCCCAGGGCTTGCATGCACTTTCTGCATCTCCCCCTCCCTCCAACACACACCTATTTTTCTGTGCCCCCCCCCACAGCGCCTTCAATAATTAATCGCCTGGATAAATAATAGATGCCGTGTTTGCTTGGGTGTTTTCTATTCCACCCCCCCCCGCGTTTCTCCACCCGCTATTTATTTAGGCTTGCAAGCCCTTCCTGCGGAGCCAACCCCGTTACAAAGCAACAACCCCTTTACTTCCGAGTAGACTTACTTCACTTGCGCGCGCACACACACACACACACACACACACACACACAGCATGCAGACAGACGCATATATAATATTCTTTGCAGCCTCCTTCATTAAGGGTAGCAATGGTATTTTATTTTTGCAGGGGTAGGGGGAGGTTTAAGGAGGGCGGGGGGTGGAGGGAGAAGGAAAAGTGCAGCTGAAAAGCATTCCGGGGAGATAAAGGGCTGGTTTGATGTGCGTTCATGTGGAGGAGCCTTTTCTCCCCTCCCTCCCGCTTCTCTTCTTCCCCTTCCCGGAGAGAAGGTTGGCGCCAGTAGTCTGGAACTAGGCTGACAAGCTTTTGAGTTATAGAAAAAACGGAGGAGGGGGGGTGGAAGGAGACGGAGGACGAGAAGGGGGAGAGAGGCAGGCAGGCAGGCAGCTGGTGTGTGGATTACTTCAAGGGAGAGAGCAGGAATAAACACAAACACACTCGCAGAGCTAGGGACGCGAAGGGAGAGGTCAGGATTCGAACCCGCGGAGGAGGAGGATTTATGCAGGGTTTTTAAATAAAAAAAATAAACAATTAGGGCTATCAGTGGCTACTAACCATGATACCTAGGCTCTGCCTCCAAGGTTAAAGGCAGCAATTTTTCCGAATAACAATTGCCGTAAGCCATAAGAGGGGAGAGGTGTCACGCTCAGGTCCTGCTTAAGTTATTGTTATTTATTGAATTTATATACCGCCCTATACCTAGAGGTCTCAGAGCGGTCCACAGTGCAAATGAACCGCAGGCATCAGTTTCTGCAGGCATCAGATTGGCCGCCATGATAACAGGATCCTAGACTAGATGGGGCACTGGCCTGATCCGGAGGGCTCTTCTTACGTTCTTCGGGTTTGGGGAAGGGGGCGTGGCTTAGTGGGTAGAGTATCTGCATACAGATTGTTCCAGGTTCAGCCCCCCAAGTAGGGCTGGGAGAGAGACCCGCTTTCAAAACCCTGGAGAGCTGCTGCCTCTCAGTGCAAATAATACAGTGGTACCTCGGGTTACATACGCTTCAGGTTACAGACTCCGCTAACCCAGAAATATTACCTCAGGTTAAGAACTTTGCTTCAGGATGAGAACAGAAATCGTGCTCCGGCGGCACAGCAGCAGCAGGAGGCCCCATTAGCTAAAGTGGTGCTTCAGGTTATGAACAGTTTCAGGTTAAGAACAGACCTCCAGAACGAATTAAGTACTTAACCTGAGGTACCATTGTACTGCGCTAGGTGGACTGATGGATCTAACTGAGTATGAGGCAGTTTCTTACTTAAGTCACCCCTTTATTTTGTACCATGGGGTCTAGAACCTTGTATTATTTTGGAGGAAGGTCCATTCATTTCTATGGATTGCATTCAACTACATCCTCCTCACAGTGGACCCATTTAAATAAATGGGCCTAAAGTAGTCATGGCCATTAACTTCAATGGGTCACCTCCAGCATTGAATACCACCCTATGATCTTTCCAGGTTGGGGCTTATTATGGGGTCAGTGCTTCTCATGCACAGAAATTATTCACCACCCTGTATTTTGTCTACCCCGCTCCTCTCTGTTAAACCAGATTTAAACTTTCCTGATGGGGGAATCCAACAAATGAAAGAACACCAGCACGACCACCATGTTTTTCACAGAGCAGACCCTGGGAACTGCAGATGGTTGAGGGTGCTGGAATGGTAGCCCTCTCTCTTGAGGCGCAAACTGCAGTCCCCAGGATTTTGGGGAGCAGGAATGTGCTTTAAAGGTAAGATGTCTATGCAGCTTGTATGACCCCCCAAAACTGCATCCTACAACTCGTTTGCAAGATTGTGGCAACCTATTTGCTGTATTAAAAAATCGCCACAACTACCCCTAGTCTGCAAGCACCTTTGAATTGGCTCCATGGGATTTTTTTGAGGGGAGGGGGGTGAATCAAAATACTGAAAGCGAGGAGAGCAGGCTAGTTTCTCACAAAACAAATTACAGTAAGAATATGGCCTATGTATTTTGCCTCATATCTCAGCTTCTATAAATCCTGTAAATTTTCACTCTCTGTATATATGAAATATGGGGATGGGGGTTCATTGCAGGTGCAGAAAATGCTCCCTTTGCCTTACCTTGTCTGAGGCCTAACCTCTTGGTTAGACACACTTTGGTTTGAACCCTCAGCTGTGATATTTTTTTAGACCCATTTACTGGGGAGGACTCAGTGGGTTTATCTGGGTGCCCACAGGGATTTTTCCAGGGATGGGCTGGAGTGGTGAGAGTGCTGAATATCAGGATTCAAACCCCCACTAGGCCATGAAGCTCACTTGGCGAAACCTTGGGCAGAGCCATAGATGAGGTGATTTTGTGCCCCTGGCAGAACCGTCCAGATTGCGCCCCCTAGCCATGGACAAATTAGCTCTTCTTTCTGCCTCTCCTCCAACCCCCTCCCCTCCACCCATTCAATTCACCCTCTATTTAAAACAATTTCTTATGAGGCAATAATCAATATTTATATTTATGGACATATTTTTAGCTGATTTTGTGCCCCCCCAATCACCTGCGCCCCTGGCTGGGGCCCACCTTACCACCCCCTAGCTACGGCCCTGACCTTCAGCCTTTTTTCATGCTAACCTACCACACAGGGTGATTGTGGGAATTAAATGAGGGCAATAACCACATATGCCACAATGAGCGCCTTGGGAGAAAAAGAAGGGATATACATTCTGTAAATAAAATAAAACAACACATACATTAAATAATAAATAAATGTAAACTATGGAAAGGGCTAATTTCTCTCACAACAAATGAGATTGCTGTCTGCACATTTTGCCTCATACCTCAGCTTCTACAAATGCTAGAAACCTACCTCTTTAAAAAAGGAGAGAGGAGCTGGGGTTTATGATTTTTGGGGGACGGGGGGGGGGACTGCTCCCTCCTGCCCTCTCCTGGAAACTCACACATGTGGGGTGTGTGAGCCACACTGGGGTGTGTGGAAGAACATTTCCAGAAAAGTCATGAAAATTTTTGAAAGAGAAAGAAACAAAGTTGTGTGCTTTTCTGTCCTCCTTAAAACACACACAGCCTGAGGTTGCAGGCTTGGAAAAGAGCTGGCTTCACAGGGACTCTTGGCTGAGGTTCAGCCGAGCCATCCCGGGAGGACATTCCTTTCCACTGAACACGGCTGTTCCCCTCTCTCTGCCTCTTCCCTCCCTCACAGAAAACATTCCCAAACTGAGCAGGCTTGGCTCCCTCCATCGCAGTCCAGCTGCTTGCCTCCCACACCTCCAAAAGCTTGCCCCGGCTTCATCCGCAGAACAGTCCACTAGATTTAAAAGCCCTGCTTGGCTTCTGGGCAAGAAGTGGTTGAGTCCCTTTGTGCTGGGGCTCTAGAAGGGACTGTACCACTTGGAGCTTGCTGGAGGAAGGTTCACCTTTATAAACACCCCCAAACAAACATTCATTTTAATTTTTTTTATTTATTTCACAAAATTTATATACCGCTTGGTGGTAGAAAACAAACAATAATCTTTTGAAAGCTAGTTTGGTGTGGTAGTTAGAGCACCAGGCTAGGACTTGGGAGTTTGAATCTCCTCACTTGGCTATGAAGGTCAGTGGGGGTCATTCGCTCACTCTCTGCCTAACCTACTTTGCTGGGTTGTTGTGGGGATTAAATGATGAGGAGGAGAGTCTCTGGAGCTCCATAGAGGGGGATATAAATTCAATAAATAAATGTCTCAAAACAGTTTACAAAAAGAATAAAACAATAGAATTATTTAGTAAAAACAATTAAAACCAGTCATGAACTAATACACACCAGCATTCTAAATATCTGAGTAGGCAACAATGACTGTAAATCACACCAACTCATTGCAAATAGAAAGCTAGCAGGAAAGGGAATAAGATAGGGTCCACATCACTCTTCAACTCCTGGGCCAGGACCTCAATACAGCCTGATTGAAGTGAGTGGCAATGATTTAAAAAGTATGGAAATCTCTCACACAGCAGACAGTTATGGCCCCCAGCTTAGATGGCTTTAAAAGTGGATTGGCTGAGGGCTACTAGCCGCAATGTCAACACTCTACTTCCATGGTTGGAGACAGCAATGTTTCTGAATACTAGTTGCTGGAAACTTCAAGAGGGGAGAGTGCTCCTGTGCTTGGGTCCTGCTTGCAGGTTTCCCACCAAAATGGGCCCTCTTTGGCCTGATCCAGCAACCATTCTCTTCTTATGGTCTTACATTTCAATTGAATATGGGTCCTGTATTTGAAATGATTGAAGAATACAGGGTTGGAGAATCTTCCTGCCTTTCTGACATGTGCTAGCTTTCTACTAGCAGGGAGTTTTGTTGTTTGTTTGGGTCCAAGAGGGAACATTAAAAATTGTCGCCGTCCCCACCAGCTAGAAAGGGTATAGTCTACCTTATCACTTAGGTCTCTACCAATAACCTCATCCTACTGGAAGTGTAGTGCAGGCTTAAGAAGTCTGCAGTCATAATAGCTGCGGAGGCTAATCTGTGATCCTCCAGCCCTCATCACCCCGGCTGGGGATGATGGCAGTTGGAGCCCAAAAACATCTGGAGGCCAAAGGATAGCTACCTATCACCTAGATGCTTAGTTGGGATAAACCCCATTGGGATGCGGGTGGCGCTGTGGGTTAAACCACAGAGCCTAGGACTTGCTGATTAGAAGGTTGGCGGTTTGAATCCCCGCGACGGGGTGGGCTCCCGTTCCTCGGTCCCTCTCCTGCCAACCTAGCAGTTCGAAAGCACGTCAAAGTGCAAGTAGATAAATAGATACCGCTCTGGTGGGAAGGTAAACGGCGTTTCCGTGCGCTGCTCTGGTTTGCCAGAAGCGGCTTAGTCATGCTGGCCACATGACCCGGAAGCTGTATGCCGGCTCCCTCGGCCAATAAAGCGAGATGAGTGCCACAACCCCAGAGTCGGCCATGACTGGACCTAATGGTCAGGGGTCCCTTTACCTTTACCTTTTACCATTGGGCTTTCTTCTAAGAAACCATGCATGGGATTGTATTGAGGTGGCAAACTGGCCAAAAGGGGGCATTATTCACCCCCTTCTTCAGCCAAAGGTTTCCAGAGCACTTACAGATCTGGGGAAAGAACAAGCATGCAATCTTAAAAGACAAGGCACAAAGGGAAAAGAGATTTAGGAGGGAGGAGGAACTAAGCAAACTTGGACACAAGTTATTATCTACAAGTTCTTCTAATGGCCAGCAGGGGTGAGGAAGTTTAAGGAGAGGAGCACCTTTCAGCTGCTCTGAAAGAGAGGGACAACAATATGAATTTTTCTCTTCTTTCTTTGACGTAGCCTCATGAAACGGCTGGCAAACATTCAGCTGAACAGATTTTGGAAGGGTGCAAGCACAGAGACAGCTTCAGCTTTACAGGAACATCATGCAACTTCCCTCTCCCAATCTTGGGTTGCCAAACTTCCTAGACCCCTGTGGGCGCATCTGGGTTTTGGACTGAGAGCCAGGGGTGCCACCCCTTGTGGTCCTGCTCTTCTGATCAGCCACAATGAGAGAAAAATGATTTACCTTTGCTTGATTGTTGTAAAGCCTCTAAGCACATTACGATAAATATTAAAATTATCTATCAAAAGTGGTTAAAAATAATTTAGACATTTAGAAATAATTAAAACCAACCGTTAAAAAGATTAAAACTTGTCAACATCTTTCAGCTTGGCAGCACCTATACTTTGGAACTCCCTGCCTATTGATATTAGGCAGGTGCATTCACAGTACTCTTTTCAGCACCTGCTAAGAACATTTTTGTTTAGGCAAGCCAGCACAGGTGCTTAGAAAGTTGATGTGAGTTTTAATCTGCTTCTAGTCTCTTGCTACTTTAACTTTTTGAATTTAAAACATTATGACCGTTCATTTTCCTTATTCATAATTTTATTGCATAACTGTTTTTTGCAAGTCGCTTTGAGGGTTTTGATTTTTGGGTGGGTTGTGTTGTTGTTTTTTGTTTTGTTACCATCAAGCAATGTGTTTATACATTTCATGAAATCCATAAATAAAATAAATAACATCAACAGTGAGTGCAGCTGCCTAATGTCAACAAGCACTGAGTTTCAAAGAATAGGTGCCGCCGGACCAAATTTCCCCCTCTTTCTCTCTCCAGGTTAATTTCAGCTCAGTCCACCTGGAAGAATGATCTGTGGGTGGCTGGTTCAAGACCTGTTGGTACTCAAGGCAGAAAATTCAAATGGCGGTTTCCTCCCTGCACAGAAATTAACAGGTGGTATGATCCACCAGGAAGTTATCCTGCACAGCACGTGTGATGAAGCAGAGATAGGCAGGAATGATGGGCTGCCACTAATTTTGCAATGGGTACCATGCTATCCCTGTATCCCCACTGCCGCTTTTATTTTTATCCTTACCTGAAGGTTTGTTGCCCATCAAAAGAATCAGGCACAGTATAAGACAGGATCGGGGCAGGTTATGGAGAGGGGGCCCAGTGGCAGTTTTGCTTCTCATTTTTCTTTTCTTAAATTCTGTTCTCCACATTTCCATGTCAGTTTGCAATTTTTCTCTAAGCCCATGTGAAAATTTTTCAGCATTTCAGTGTGAATTTCTCCTAACATAAAGATCTTTGTATGGCGTTTTTGCCTAATAGGCACATTTCCCCCTCAATGCTGATTTTCCATAAGAAGAGCGTAAGAAGAGCGCTTCTGAATCAGGCCAAAGGCCCTTCTAGCCCAGCATCCTGTTCTCACAGTGGCCAGTCAGAAGCATCTTCTGGGAATTCAGGGAGTTCAAGGCTACCAATGGCTGCTCACCAGGATGGCTATGCTTTGCCTCCACAGCTGGAGGCAGCAGCACTTCTGAATACCATTTGCTGAAAACCACAGGAACGGAGAGTTGCTCTTGTGCTCAAATCCTGCTAGTGAATTTCCCTTTGGGGCATCTGGCTGGCCACTGTGAAAAGAGGATTCTGCACTAGATGGGCTAGTGGTTCTTACATTATTCCAAGCAAATTTCTCCCATCTATTCCATCCCCCTATTTCCCACATGGTCCCGTCTGCTTTCTGCCTTCTTCCTTCTGGATTCCAGTTCAGCTAGGAGAATTTCTTAAAATGATTTCCAGAATTAGGGCACGGGCGTTCTGCCTCATCTTTCCGTTCCATCTGTTCATTTGCATCTTCTTCTTTTTTTAAGTCCTCTGGGTTACCAAAGCATGCGTGCGCATTGATACCACACTGGAAGGGGGAAAGGAAGGCGGTCTTGATGTGATTTTATTGCACACAGGGCTGCTTTCAGACTCTTTCCTGCCTTTGTTTTTATAGGGTTTCAGCAAGGCGTGCCTGGTCTCCTGCACGTTGGTAAAGAGCATGAGTAAAAGAGGCAGAAGGAAGGGACTCTAACCTGTACAGTACTCTGTACAAAATTCAGAATATTTGAAAATGAAATAACATAGGTTACCGAATGCAGGGCTGGGTAGACATCAGGTCTACTCAGGATTCCCTGTTATATGTAAAACACATATAAATCACATGGATCCACCCCCACAAAAAAGGTATATTGGGAACTGTAGTTTACCACTCCCACAGTGCTACAATTCCCAGCACCCTTAACAGACTACAGGATTCTTTGAGGGAAATTTTATTTATTTTATTTTCTTATTTATTTCATAAAATCTATACATCATTTGGTTTTTTTTTAAAGCATCCTCAAAGCAGTTTACAAAAAACATATAGCAATAAAAGTATCAATATGAAAAAAATTAAACAATGATTTAATACTTTCAAAAAGCTAAAATAACAGTAGGTTAAAAAAGATTGAAACTCGTATCAGTTTTCTAAACATCTGGGCAGGCTAGCCTAAACAGGTGCTGAAAAGAGTATAGTGAAGGCACTTGCCTGGTGTCAACAGGCAGGGAGTTCCAAAGTGTAGGAGCTGCCGCACCAAAATATCAGATTCTGACAAATTTAAAACTCCAAAGTTGAGGTTTGAGGTTTCACATTTTCCTCATGATAAACGAGTGACAAAGAACAGCCCAGGGCTCATTTGGGAGGAAGGGCAGGATATACATTTGAAAAGATGGCTATAGCTCAGTGGTAGGACACCTGCTTTGCATGCAGAAGGTCCCATGTTTAATCCCAGATGGCATCTCCATGTAAGTCTGGGAGAAAACCCTGTCTGAATGTCCAGAGAGCTGTTGCCAGTCAGAGCAGACAATATTGAGCTAGATAGACCAATATCTGATACAGCAAAGGACAGCTCCTTATTTAAATCATACTTTTATTTAGAAACAATGTGGACTAGAATCTTATTTTATTTTGTAGGAGGGGCCATAGTTCTGACTCTGAAACTCTGGAGAACCACTGTCAGTCAGTGTAGACAATAGTAAGCTAAATGGACCAGCGGTCTGACTCAGGATAATGTGACTGCCTCTGTTTCTATTTAATACAGTATTTTATTCAGGAACATGAGGACTAGAATCTTACTTCAGATTTAGAGGAAAGGGTGAATGTCAGCCGTAGAGCATCTGTCTTGCATGATGAAGGTCCAGGGTTCCATCCCCAGTGACATCTCCCAAGTAGGGCAGGTCTGAAACCCTGGAGAGCTGCTGCCAGCCAGTTTGAACAACACCAAGCTGACATCACAGTTTGAGAAGTATGTTCATAAGCTGGAATGTGTGCAGCCAAGATGAGAAAGGGTCTGGAAACCAAGCCTTATGAGGAACGGTAAAAGGATTTGGGCATGTTTAGCCAAGAGAAGAGAAGAAGAAGAGTTTGGATTTGATATCCCGCTTTATCACTACCCGAAGGAGTCTCAAAGCGGCTAACACATGGAAGATGGAGCAAGCTTGTTTTCTGCTGCTCCAGAGGGTAGGACCCAAACCAATGGATTCAAATGACAGGAAAGGAGATTCTGACTAAGCTGTAAGTGCCTTTTGACTGTTGAACGGGCTCCCTCAGAAAGTGGCAGGCTCTGCTTCATTGGCGGGGCTATTGGCATGTTCTTTTTCTTACTTTTAAGGTATTTTGTGCTTTTTATTATCTTGTATTTTTATGTTTTGAACCATCCTGGAATCTATGGATGAAGGGCAGTATACAAATTTAATAAATAACAAAATAAAAGTAGGGACGCGGGTGGCGCTGTGGGTAAAAGCCTCAGTGCCTAGGGCTTGCAGATCGAAAGGTTGGCGGTTCGAATCCCCGCGGCGGGGTGCGCTCCCGTTGCTCGGTCCCAGCGCCTGCCAACCTAGCAGTTCGAAAGCACCCCCGGGTGCAAGTAGATAAATAGGTACCACTCTGGCGGGAAGGTAAACAGCGTTTCCGTGCGCTGTGCTGGCTTGCCAGAGCAACGATGTCATGCTGGCCACGTGACCCGGAAGTGTCTCCGGACAGCACTGGCCCCCGGCCTCTTAAGTGAGATGAGCGCACAACCCTAGAGTCTGTCAAGACTGGCCCGTACGGGCAGGGGTACCTTTACCTTTACCTAAAATAAAAGTAAGTAGAGGTTGGATAGCCATCTGTCATGGATTTTTTATCTATGATTCCCACATCACAGGAGGGTTGGACAGGATGACCCTTGAGGTCCTTTCCCACTCTACAATTCTATGATTTTATGTGTCAGGGAATCAGTGCAGATAGAATAGCAGTCTGAGCCGATACACAACACCTCCCTGTTCCCCGGATACAAACTACCACAAGCGGCTCCCCCTTGAACTGCTCCCCATCACTGCACTTCTCCTGTAAGGCACGTCCCCCGGGAACCGTAGATTGAATCCAGCGCTCTCTATTCATAGGAGCTTGGAGATTCTCCACGCAGGGCCTCCGTGGCAGATGAGCGAGGGGTTGCTTGCCACACAGATTGTTGCAATCGGATTCCCCTGGTGGTGGGTCAGTAATTTTGAAGAACTCTGCTCTGACACATCGCAGGGAAGTGGTAAGGTCTCCCAGCACAGCCTCTCCTGGCTCAAAGGCCAGCTTTCACGTAGGACAGTTCTGTTTTGTTTTAAAGGAAGGTGGCAACGATCTCTCTTCCTTGCACCAGCTCACCATTTGTCTGACTACAGACATCAAAACATTTAAACAAAAGGCTGGTCCACTCTAAGAAGAGACCAGGCAACATTCATTTCACCAAGACTTGATGTGGGATCAAATCTTCTCAAAAAATTTGCCATGATAGGTCCTGCCATGTTTCCATTGAAAATACAATAATGCTAGAAAAATGCAACCTGTGTTGCTGTTAGAAGTAGTACGATTCATGCAACACGTTGGCAACTAATATACACACAATAATTACCAAAATAATTATGCATTCTTTATCAATCTTCTGAGAAAAATACATAAACTTATGCAAAGCTACAGAGACTTGCGAACTACCCAACCTGAGATGAACTTATAATGTCTGATTTCAATGGATTTTTCAAGTGCTTAACTCAGTCTTTTGTTTTCTTTATCTTTTTAGGTAAGTTCATGAAGATACCAACAAAAGATAAGTTCGATGTTGTTCACAATACCGAGAGATGCTAGTGAAGTTGTAGATGGATGTTAATAAAGTTGTAGACAGTGTGCTGGCATTTTGCACCTGTTTCACCCTGGCAGTCCAAGTAATCAAGATCTTAAGCCAAGAAATATATTTTCTATGAAATTGAATATCAATATACATCTCAAGGCTTTGAGATTAGACCACTGAAGAAGCCCGGAAAACTACCTTGGGAGTGTGCTACCTGCAAGCCCCAGTAAAAGGGCCCCATCGGGGGCGAACAGCGGCTCCTTGATCACTTGTGTGTATATTAGTCGCCAACATGTTGCATGAATCGTACTACATGTTTCCATTGAAAGCATGGAAGTAGCCCTGTGGTTTTAATTTCCAGAGTGGACAACTGTGCTGGTCTGTTGCAATGCAGAGAAGCTTGAAAATTACTTGTTCATTGGGGCATAAGTCAATTTCCTCTTTCTTGGGAAAAGTTTTGGTTAGTTCAATAATAGGGTATCTACTCTGCATGCAGAAGGTCTCAGGTTCAACCTGTAGGTTCTCCTGGTAGGGCAGGAAATATCCCCTACTCAAAACCCCCTACAAGTCTGCTGTTAGTCCATGTAGGACCGCTAGTCTGACTCTGCAGTATACAGTAGCTTCCCATGTTCTTGTTTAAATCGGCTTTAAATTCAGAACAAAGAGAACTGGAATCTTCATTCATAGGGGAAGGGTTGTCGCTCCTTGGCAGAGTGCCGCCTGCCTTGCATGTGGAATGTGAACTCTTTATTAGTTGTCTGGTCTTTATGTCCTGCACAGCCAGAAACATGCCAAAGCACAGTTTTCACATTTTGCACTTACCACTTGAGGAGAGGATACTTTAATACCCACCTTCAGTTATTGTGTGGTAGCATTTGCAGAAATGCTAGGGAGTACCTGATCTCAGACGAACCCGTGTCAGGAAAGAAGCCTCCTGGTTGCTAGGGGAAAAGGGCAAACTGCAGAGGTTCCAAAGACTATTAGAAAATAAGACAGAAACAATACTGAAGAGGAGGAGAGAAAGAAGCACTTTAGAACTCCTGGATTCCTATTGCCTGATGTGCAAATTACTCACTTATTAATCACAGCTCATTGGCGAATAACTGTGACACATGGAAGCAGGTCGGCTCATTTCACAAAAGTCACTTAGGAGCATAGTGTTGTTTTTTTGTTCTGTATTTGGCTTAAAAGTATAAAATAAAATAAAAGTATTTAAAAAAAGAAAAAGGAGTGTTACCTGGATTCCTAGATCTAGTTTTAGGGCAAGTACTCTTTGGTGAGAGAGCCCCAGCCGAGATTTAAAATTGCAAAATATGCAGCAAAGTAAAACGTGGAAATATAGGCTGTTATACCTTTAAAATATCCATTTCTAAGTTGCT